TGAAGGTTGAAGATAGGTTTCATGGGTTAATACTGATATATGGGGGTCTGATCCCATTTCTTCAAAAAAGGGTTCAAGATATTTTGTTACCTTTATTAATGATTACACTCATTATACATGGGTGTTTTTTTATGAATAGTCGCATTGAATTTTTTGATGTTTTTACCAAATTTTACTCCCACATTGAAACTCAAATTTCTAGTAAAATTAAAATTTTGTGCTAATAATCTAGGGTTTCAGGCTTCGGGTTTCATCCAGAGATTAGGGTTTTACTCACCTTTTTTTTTTCACCTAATCCTCAAAGGGTCGCAAAAATGCTATTTTATAAGTTAAAAAATTTGTAAAATCAATAATTACCAAAATAAAGTTAGTCTGTCTGATTGAAACCAAATTTTGGAGGTAAGAGGGCTGGGAGGCCTAGCCCAAAAGGTCGCGATTCACTGAATCTGGTTTGGAATTGGGTTGGCAGTTGAAAAGGGTTAATTTGGCTCAACTAGACTGTGCGACACACTTTGTGTCGCCCACTAGATCTGGGTGACACACTTTGTGTTGTCCATCTCAAATTTGACCAAAATCTGAAACTTCCAATTCTTATGTTATTTACATGCTTCTGAATGATTATCTTCCAAATATTAGATTAAAATATGATATTTTTATTTTTTTAATTATTTTCAAAATCGTTAGCTTGTTAGGATACTGGATAACATGATGGGGACCATAGACTATGGTGTTATGTGGTTCAAGGATTTTCTGGGATAGTATGGTCCAAAGGTTTATCTAAGGTTAGGAAAATAATAAATTTTACCGTGTTTAAAAATGGGGTGTCTACATCACTGAAATTCAATCCATGGCCCACTGTCTGGTATAAGATGGGCCAACTCGTGTGAGTCTTGGTGACTCCCAGCAGCAAGCCGCATCAACTCACACAATGCATGTCTTTGTGGCTCGTGTTGTGCAAACCCCATAATGTTTTTTGGCAGTCCCTTTTTTTTTTCCCCTCTGTTTCGACTCTCTGTCCTTCATGGTTTTCACTATTTTTTATTTTTGTAACTTGTAGATTACAAAAAATAAACAAAAAAAAAAGAGAAAATAAATAAAAAGAAGATGATAGGATAGATTTGATCTTTCCTTGTTCTTCTCTGTTTAAGATTTAGATTTTGATCTTTATCTAATTAGATTAGGCTTAGATATTTATGTGTTTGATTTATCTTTATCTGATAGAGATTAGGATTTCTCTAATCTTTATCTCTTCCTTGCCTTATTTTTATCTTGCACATCATTAGACTGGGTTGTTCGCAATCTTGCTTACCTTATCACACTTTTTGCGATCACTTATGTGTTGTTTTTCCATGCCCTTATCACACATGATTTGCACTTATCCAAAGGGTTTTTACCGACACTTAAGTCATATAGGCATTAGTTTTATGGCAAGACAGTTGGGAGTGAGCCGATGCTGAAACATGTACCTCTCTATAGAATTCTTGACCATAAAAGAAACCCACAACAATAAAGCTTTGCTTCCGTAGTTGACTTGTAGTTAAGCCTTATGTTGGCACTCAGTCAGAGTTAGTATTGCTTTAAACTTTTTAATTAGTTAGGTAAGCCTATCCATAGTCCATTAGGTCAATTCAATTTCTACCTTTTTCTTTATGCCTACTCTGTGCATCACAGGCAGCACCTTGTCAATAGTTAGCGGTGACTCAGACACCAAGTCCACCAATTCCTGCACACATTCTAGGCCAAGGTAGCCCATTGGGCCTAAGCATTATCCCCTAGGCCTACCCTAGCCCTAGTCAGCCTCAGATTAGCTTTAGCGGGTCCATAGTCCTGCGCTCTGGGCTCAACCTGGAAGCCCACTCCCCATTTTGCTAAGCCCAATGACCCGAGAGTAGGGCTGCCAATGGACAGGGCTCGGGTTGGCTTGAAGCTCGATAAGGTCCGGTACTGTACAGGGCTGGCCCGGAGCCCTAATCTCTCTCCTTTCTATTCACCCCTCATCTTTCTTCCTCCATTCACCCCTAATCTATCTCCCTTCTTTCGGCCCCTCATATCTCTAACCTCCATCCGTCCCCCTCATATTATCATACCATATCCATCCTCTCTCCTCTATCACACTATTGGCCCCTCTCATCTCATCATACCCTATCCGTCTCTCTCTCTCTCTCTCTCTCTTTCGTCTAACTTTTGTCTGCCCCTCTCATCTCATCATAGCTTATCCGCCCCTCTCTCCTCTATCTTCTCTATCCGTCCCTCTCTCATCTAACCTTTGTCCACCTCTCTCATCACATCATACCCTATCCATCTCTCTCCTCTATCTTCTCTATCCTCTCCACTCTCTCTAGCCTATCCATCTCTCTCTTGTTCTCCCTTCCATCTGCCCCACTCTTTTACCCTCTCATACTCCCAATCCGCCCTACTCTCATACCCCCTTATCTGGCCTACTCCCACATTACTCTATCTCCCCTGCAATCTCATACTAGCCCTATCTGCTCCTCATTCTCTCTCAACTCCTCTATTATCTCATATCCCTTTAGAGTCCGGACCCTCACCATAGGCGGGTCCATCATTCCTTGACCATCCTTCTTTCTCTCATTTTAATCATCTTATTCTCTTCTTAAGTCATGTTTTGACTTCTTATTCACTTCGTTATATTTCTATTTCATTGTTTCTTCATTATCTCTCTTACTTACTGCTTCTTCCACTTCTTAAGCACTCGATTCGTGGTCTTCCTCAGATAGTGCCCTAGGGTTCTAACTCTCAGATTGCTACTTTAACTACCAACTCATTTAGTGAAGTCGAGTTATAAGAGATACTGATTCGTTTACACTCAATTATTCAGGTTGGGGTCATCCTGAGTTAGCTTCTTTAGAGTTCTGATCCTTTTGCTACTCTAAGCACCAAGTCACATAGTGTTTGGGTTGTGAGAGACTTTCATCTCTTTTTTTATTTTTTCTTTATCTTTCTTCTCACTCTTGATCACTTTTAGAGGGCTCTTTGGTTTAGTGACATAGTTATAGGCTCAGTCCTATAACTCCACTTTCCAAATCCTCCAAGTACCAATGTGATTTTATTTGTCACTGATACTACCTCTTAGGAGAAGTTACGTTGGGAGACTGCCCAAATTTCATTGGGTCATTCTTTCACTACTTCTACTTCATTTTCTTCTTCTTCTCTAGTCTAAACTAAGTTCTAATTCACCGATTCTTAGTTTCTTCTTTCTTCCCTCTCTATCTTATTTTCTATAACCACTCTACCCCAAAACTATAACCATTAAACCATATAAAGCACGCCAAAGAGGAGTATACTATATTTGGATTTCATTAGCAGCTTTTCAGTGAGAGTTGAGGTGAGGTGTTGGGTTTAGAGAGGGGCCAAATTCAAACCGTGCTGCTGGACAACCAAAGGGTTTTTGTTCAGTTATCTAAGAGGGCAATAGCTTGGGCTTATCCCATGAACTCAAACCGTGGTGAGGTAGGTGCTCGAGTCCATCTCTTTATCGCTTTAAAATCCTCTCATAGTTGGACATACCTATTCGCACGTGGCACACGAGCCGCACACGCACTCATGAGGTCGGACGGTTGTTCAAGAGGGGGTCAATCGAACCCGAGTCCCCGAGGAAGCCCGAGCAAGGTAGATCCAGGCTCGACCAATGACCCCCCATAAGCATCATATGTGATGCGTGTGCACAAATTGGTGTGACCTTGGACTTTTCCTTTGGGGGAACTTGTAATCCATATAATAGGATTGTAGCCCTTCACCAATTGGATAACTTTGGTAGCCCAATCATAAACCCTTGTGATAGATTGTGGGTCATGGGAACTACTAGGTCAGTTTGAGAAAATAAGTGTGGATTATAGTCTCTAGTAGAAGATGAAGTGCTTCAGTGATTTTGAAATTTTTATTGCATTTCATATTTGAATTTTAATTTAAAAATCTAAAATCACTTAAAATTTTGAGTGTCTATTATTTAAAAATTGGATAATCTAATAAAAATATTAAAAATCTAATTCATAAGAAATAAATTGATCAAAATACCTTTGAAACTTTTAGGGGTATTTTAATCAATTTAGTTTTTGTAATTGTTTTTTAATATTTTATTAGGTGTGTTTTGATGAGAAGAATAAATGCCTAAAACTTCACGTGATTTCGATTTATATAAAAATATTGAAATTATATTACGAAATAAATTCATGATCGTCAGATAGGCCTGGATTCAATCTGGGCTGTTGAACTACACTGTAGTTGTCAGGTTGTGGGCTAACCACAAATTCTCCCTTGAAAATAATGTTGTCATTAATTTCTTATATGATCGCTTCAAAACATTCCATAGTTTTTGGGACTGCCATCCATTATAGTGGAAGCTGGTAGGTTTTAATATTGCCCAACTTAAATATAACATTAAGAAAAAAAACAAAAAGTTAAGGATAAGGATATAGGAACAGAAAACCATTTCACATATCCCATACTTGATTTTAGTCCCCTCCACTTTCGGATTTTATTCAATTGTTCCCAAATTTTTTTTAACTTGTTCAAACTTTTCCATTAGCCCCATTTTTCTCAAATAGACTTTATAAAAACCTAAAAAACCTTTTAACTTGTTCAAACCCTTTCCATTTCACTCGCAATAGTATCAATTTATAAAAGGCTACTAAACAGCTCCAATTTTCATTCATTGCCATACATAGAAACCTTTCATTCACAGTGACCAAACTTCCGTTTCAACAAATTTATTATATGAAACCAACACCCCATTTTGCAATGCACGACAAACTAGGATCAAAATAGATGGAAAACAACACACACATAACAGAGAGATAGAATTAGAGGGAGGATTCTGAGTTATGGGAAAAAAAGTAGGACCAAAATGAAAGATAAAACCAGCACACAAAATAGAAGGTAAGATTTATAGGGAGAATATTAAGATATGGAAGACAAGGGGAGGGTGAAGAGAAACGTGTAAATGGAGGCAGGGGGAGAATAGTGAGACATGACTTTTTCTCCTACAAACCATTTAGCAATCTGTTGCACTCACCAACACAACCCCTTTTAATGACACGCTTCTTGAGAACGAAAAATTCCTTGGCTGTAACCACGCTATCGGCCCCTGCTTGGTGCATATTGAGTGCAGAACTCTGTACCCCCATGTCCCTAGCTAGTTTCGAAAGACCCCCTGTCCATACATAATGGTGGTGAACCATGTGCTTTGCATCGTAAAAGTTAGGAAATATCCTATTAACCATCGAGTGAAAAGTCGATAATGCATCTGGCAAGAGAGTGCAACCATTCAAAAGCTTGACAAGATAGGCCATATCGTAGGTACCATGAAATGTGACCCAATGAACAGCAGGGTTTGAAACCAGCCGAGCAGATGCAAGGGAGTCAGCTAGTGTTTGAGAAGTTACACCTTTAGTGGGATTCTTCTCAAAATCAAATACCTGAATTACGTAATATATTCATCGCCTCCATTGAATATCGATCCGAGGAAGGGTCAAAGTCACTTAAATTTATTTGCCAGGCTATCTGTTGACCATATTGATTTGTTGGTAGGGAACTAGATTCATCAAAAAATGTAAGGCCCAGTTGTATTAGTTTGAGGGAATCCACATTGGCTTTGATATGCCCATAGTAGATTCTTGCATCAGCACGACAATTACAGGGATGAACAAAATCAGGGAATTCAATGTCGAGTGCAATGTAAGGATATCGGTGAACAACGTCACGAATTCTCGAGAACTCTTCATGTACATTATCAGCCCATACATCAATGATAATTACGTCGGCCATTACTGAAAGTTGGTATAAAAGATGGGTTCAAGTTTGTGAACAGAATGTACATTACAAGGAGGCGCATAAAAAAGAATAAAAAGCCTCCAATAGAAAATTAGGGTGAAAATTTTGCATGAGGTAGCCTTTCAGAAAGCATTTTGACAACGACAGCAGCATGAAAGTCAGTAAAAGATGCATAAAAAACAGAATAAAGGGAAAAGAAGTTGAAATAAAGATATACAGAAAGCATTTCATTCAACTAACGTAAAATTCCCATTAAACCATCTAAAGAGAGTTAAAAAATCAGAGAGAAGCATACAAATAAGCAAAGAATCATATGAAAATTAAATTTTCGTGGAATGAAACCAATGAAATCTAAACCAATATAAACCGCAATACCTCAGATGAAAGAAACGAGTTGAAATATATCTCTGCAATAGGGTGTTGGGGTCCAATCCCTCGTTGAGAGAGAGAGAAAGAGAGGATTTGGAGGAGGAAGAGGGAGGAATCAACCCTTTTAAATGGCAGAGTCTTTTCATATTCCTTTTCTTGTTAATTTTGTTTTAGTGAGATTTTTAATAGAGTTTAAGAACCCCAAAAAAGATTTTCATATCTCTTTTCTGGTTAGTTCTACTTTTTCGTGCAATTTTCATTGGAATTTAAGAGCCCGATAACGCATCGGCTCTATTTCTTAAATTCCGTAGCCTTGAATATACAATTCAAAACTTAGTACCACCCTAAAATCCAAATGTATGCTGATTATTTCATAAAACCCTAAGAAAAACAATCTAAAATACCCTAATAATCCATTTTGGACTTCGCTAACTTCACAAACCTTTCGGTACCCTCACCTGTAATCCTATTCTCTAACTTTGACGTGTGGACATTTTGGGAGTAAGAGGGAGTCTCCCAAAAATTATGGAATACCACCTTTCCATCACTTTATTTTGGAAGGGCGGTCTTGGAAAAAAGCATCCATTTTGAAGGTTAAATAAAAAAATGCCTCGTGGAAGGCCTCCCTTCCAATTTGTGGCTTCCATTTGATAATATCAACTTTGTTCAACTCCCACGTCCAGAATCCCTCACTTATCAAACGTGCCTAAAAGATACTTTATTAGGAGGCCTAAATCCCTTAGGATTATACCCAGAATAGGAACAATAAGAACTTATATAAGATTATAATGGTCTTGAATTCAAGTCACGTTAGCAATCTATCTAAAATATAGCATCTCAAATGAATTAAAAGAAAGTTTGCATACCCTAGAGAGATTAGAGAACCAGAGAGATCGAGAGAGAGGAAGCCCTAGACTTAGGCCAAACAAAATCCTCTAGCTTCATCAGATATAGCCATGAAAACACTAGAGAACCTTGGTCAAGGTCAAACACAAGGTTCTTGGCACATAAACCATGGAAAGGTGGTTCACCTTAGATCAATATAACAAACGACGACAATTTTAGCAAAATTCTTTGAAGAAGGAGAAAGTAAGCGTGTAAAGCAAACCATGCTACCACTTTGGGTTTTGGGTTTCTTCGACCAGTAGTGTAATCAATATTTTTTTTTCTGATTTGTCTCCTTTAAATTACCTAAGAAATATTTGTTTTAGCTCAAAAGATTAGTCGGCACTGCCAGCGATTCGAAAAGGAATTGGTCTCCCAAGGTTAATCTGTTCCCATATTGTAATTTAGTTGTCCCTGCAATCTATATTGAATTTACTAAATTTAATTAATTTAGGGCATAAATTAGAGGGATTTCATGCAGAAATCTTATCGAGATTTGCCTACAAGTAGATGGCACCACCATGGTGTTGTTGAGTTAAATTTTTCCACATAAACACCTTTTAGAAGTCTATGGAATTATGCATAGATATACTACAAAAACAAACAAACAAAAAATAGCAAAATAAGACATACACCAGGGGCTTTGGACTAAACTAAAACTCCTAGTTATTAAAAACACATAATTTTCCACATGGTTTCTGTCCTTCCCATTGCAACCCCTGTTCCCTGCTTTCTGGGTCTTGTTATGGAGAAATTCAAAAAACAAAAGATGAAAGAAAGGAACTTCTTTTATATCCATAATTTTCATTCACATTAAAATTGTTAGATAGCTTGAAATTGCTTGTTGTCATACCTTTGCAACCACGCACAGGTTATTTTCCACACCTCTCACTGAGAGTTACCAAAAAACCATTTCAGATTTTCAAAAACACCCAAGGTGGCATTGACATTGAAAAGAGCACCCAGCTTCTAAGAGTTGGGATGAATGGGAATCATGCAACTTTAACTGTGCGCACCACTCCAGAATTCCTTGCCCCAAAAGCACCCCAATGGTAGGACCTTATAGCAGTACCATTAAGGTTAGCTCAGGATCTACATGGGCGTACCCTGAACCCAACTGCATTTCGGTTTTTTCTTAGTTGGGAGCATCACCTTGAACTCAGTTGTACCTTATAACCTAGGCCTAGTCTTTTCAGACCTTTTTATGCGGTGTGTATTAACTTGGGTTAGAAAGATGTCTGTTGTTTGAGTCGATTCGGCCAATTAATCCATTGTCTTGTTCAAGCCCAAATTAGGAAAACCTAGTGGTCAATATGCTACCATGTCATAGTCTTATGACCAAGACCTGAGTCTCTTAGGTCAGTCCATAGTTAGATATCTTAACCTTCGTATAGCTGGTCCCATTGAACCTCATAGGGTGACCCTGGACCATGAGATTTGTGTAGCTAGGAATGCCCTAAAAGTTAAGGATTCGACCCCGGGCAATCCTTCAGGAGCTTATTGACCCTCAGGCTAATCGTTGAAATTGTGTTTGTGAGGAGAACCACTCCCTGTTTAATGTCTTGTTCCATGATTCATACTAAGATATGGACCAGCAGGCCAAGGGTCAAAACGATAGAGTCCATGGAGCTCTGGGGTATGTGGCCATTCCTCGAGTCATCATATCACCGATAAGGAAAATCATTACCTCTGCTTAATGTGGTAGGGGGAAAAGGTCCTAGCATAAACAAAATCCACGAAACCTCTTAAATACAAGCTTTCTTAGAAAATCTGGCCAACCAGGTGTTTGGCGTGATCTTAAGTCGAATGCAGGGAATAAATGCATAAAACAACCAAGAAGACTTCAAACAACACTCTCCACGTACAAAGCTTTATTTAATTTTGGGTCAATAAATTCAAAGGTTTCTATATTCACTATCTCATACAATGGAGAAGTGAAAACCAATATTTAATCTGTTACAAATGAATTCACCAATAATTGAAGGTGGTACAAGATATGTCCTTTGTCTATATAGGATCTTCTTGTTCGATAGCTACTGATATAGGACTGCTAAATCTTCATAGCAGGGTGTGTATCTACAGACCATCCACTCCTCAGAGGCTTACTATACTGTTTATTTATAAGCTTCCAGTAGCTTTGGTTGGCAGTTTGTAATTGTGCCCAGTGGTTTTATAATGGTTTGCATGTCTAGTTGATAAAGTGATTCATATATTTGCACGATGATCACGTCCTTGAGTGGGGTCTAGATGTTCATCCAATCGTGACAACATGTAACATCATGCCTTATCTTGTAACATTTGGTACAACGTGTTAGAGATGTTTAATGCTTCTGTCAACTTTGCCTCTCCGGCAAGTATAAAATTTGTTTTATCGAAAACGTGCCACATTGCTTCCATCTTCATGATCTTGAGAGAAGGATGAGGGGTACTTTTTACCAACAATAGATAGAAGGAATGAGAAAGGAAAGGCTAACATCATGCATCTTATGTATAGGAGTGCATAAGTTATTGAACATTTTGGATATGTGTAGGAATATATGTGGGCATGTGCCCGAGGAAAGTATAATAAAGCATTGATTGATCGGAGGGTTTATGATGAGTGAATCAAACGGTCAATGATATAGAGTTGGGATCATTTAAATGTTATCCCTAGCTCTTCGCTGTCATAGTATTCAACTTATGGTCATGTGGGTTCAAACTTAGTTTGAATCTGGCACTTGTCGTGCTTGACTTCTTAGGAGTAGAATTGGATTTTTGAAAGTGTATATAATGTGAATGAGAAGGAATGTGTGGCATCCAGAAATACCTGTATAATGGTAGACGAGGCTTCCCAAAATTTGAGAATCATTGGGACTCATGAGGCCGAATTAATGCTTGCACAGTTCTAGGTCGTAAATGTAATATTTATTTTTCACGACATTTGGTGTACTTCCTGCATTGAAAAGATGAAATCTTTTGCTCTCTCCAATATAGTGAAACTCATTTGTGACGTTCACTCTTCGTAGCATTGGAATAATCATAATGAGATGACTACTTACTTTTTGGATTTAGGCAATATGGTGAGGCCACTTCTTCACATCCGTTGGAGTAGTTCGTAATCGTTAGTGACAAATATTTTTAGTAAACATTTATTGAAATTGTGCAAATCAATAATGGTTTTCTAAAAGCAATAATGATTTAGGAGTTTGATCCTTGATTTTCTTGGGGAGTCAAATGATGACCACCTTGTCGTACTGAATTATGAGCGATTGGGCAATCTATAAAAGGGAATCATGGAGTATTTTTTATTTAGATTTCACTAGCAGCTTTTGAGCGAGAGTTCAGGTGAAGTGATGAGTTTAGAGAAGGAGCCAAATTCAAACCGTGCTTTTTGACAGTCGGAGGGCTTTCGTTCATTGATCTAAGAGGGCAATAGCCCTGGTTTATCCCACAAACTCAAACCACGGTGAGGTAGGTGCTCGAGTTCATCTCGTCATCGCTTTAAAATCGTCTCATAGTTGGACATACCTATCCGTATGTGACACACGGGCTGCATACACGCTCGTGAGGCCGGGCGGTTGTTCGAGAGGAGGTCAATCGAATCCGGGCCCTTGAGGGAGCCTGAGTGCGATAGATCCAAGCCCGACCAATGACCCCCATAGGTATCATGTGTGATGTGTGTATACATGTTTGTATGACCTTGTACTTGTCCTTGAGGGGAACTTATAATCCATACATTAGGATTGTATCCTTTTTCCTATTGGATGACTTTGGTAGCCCAATCATAAACGCTTGCAACAGATTCTGGGTCATGGGAACTATTGGATCAGTTTGAGAAAGTGTGTGTGGATTATAGTCTCTAGTAAAAGATAAAGTGCTTCTGTAATTTTGAAATTTCAATTGCATTTCGTATTTGAATTTTAATTTAGAAGCCTAAAATCACTTCAAATTTTGAGCGTCAATTATTTAAAAATAGGAGAATCTAAGAAAAATATTAACAAGCTAATTCATAAAAAATAAATTCATCAAAATACCACTGAAACTTTCTGAGGTATTTTAATCAATTTTTTTTTGCGAGTTATTTTTTAATATTTTTATTAGGTGCACCTTGATGACTATAATTAACACCTAAAATTTTATTTGATTTCGATTTTTATAAAAATAATTAAATTATATTACGAAATGAAATTGTAATCATCAGATCAGCCTGGATTCAATCTGGGCTCTTGAACATACACTGTAGTTGTCAGCTAGTGGGCTAACCTCATATTTTTTTCCCTTTAAAATAATGTTGTCATTAGTTACTTATGTGGTAACCTGGCCAAAACTTTTCATAGTTTTTGGGAGTGCCATCCATTGTTTTGTAGTAGAAGCTGGTATGTTTTAATATTGCCCAACTTAAATATCATTTTAAAAAAAAGAGTTCAGGATAAGGATATGGGGACAAAAACCCATTTCACATATCTCATATTTGATTTTACTCCTCTCTACTTTCGAATTTTATTCATTCTCCCAAATCTTTTAACTTGTTCAAACTTTTCCATTGGCCCCATTTTTTAACACAAATAGACTCTATAGAAACCTTAAAAACCTTTTAACATGTCCAAACCCTATCCATTTCACTTGCAATAGTATCAAATTTTAACTCCACATTTCATTCATTGTCATACATAGAAACTTTTCATTCACAGTGACCAACTTAAATATCATTTTAAAACAAAGAGTTCAGGATAAGGATATGGGGACAAAAACCCATTTCACATATCTCATAGTTGATTTTACTCTCTACTTTCGGATTTTTTTCAATTGTTCTCCCAAATCATTTAACTTGTTCAAACTTTTCCATTGGCCCCATTTTTCAACATAAATAGACTCTATAGAAACCTTAAAAACCTTTTAACATGTTCAAACCCTATCCATTTCACCTGCAATAGTATCAAATTTTGACTCCACTTCTCATTCATTGTCATACATAGAAAGTTTTCATTCACAGTGATCAAACTCCATTTTCAACAAACTCCCATTATGCAATGCACGATAAAGTGGGATCAAAATAGATGGAAAACCCAGCACACATAATTGATAGATATAGTTAGAGGGAGGATAATGAGTTATGGGAAAAAGAGTAGGATCGAAATGGATGGTAAAACCAGCACACATAATAGAGAGAGAGATTTTAATCAATTTATTTTTTAATATTTTTATTAGGTGTTCCTTGATGAGAAGAATGAACGCCTAAACTTTTAGGTGATTTTGATTTTTATAAAAATATTAAAATGATATTACGAAATGAAATCGTGATCGTCAGATCGGCCGAGATTCAAGCTGGGATCTTGGGCATTTACGGTAGCTGTCAGCTCGTGGGCTAACCTCATATTTGTCCTTTTAAAATAAGGGTGTGGTTTCCACAAAGTTTCAACCTTAAACAATTCAACTAAGGTGCACCTTCAAATTTTATTATAATAGGTAATTTTGATATAAAATGTTCTTAAGATTACCTCAAAATCTATTTTTATATCTAATTAAAAAATTTGAAATCCAAAAATGGCTAAAATCAAATAGATCTATGAACATATGAAAATCTTGAAAATGGACGGTGTAGACAATATGTTGTAAGATGCACTATTTTTGAGACTCAAATTTTTTTTATTTTTCATAATCATATTTCTCGACATGTCGAGATGATCAATCACAGGGCTTTCCAACTTTAAAACAACCTTTTCTGATGGATTTTGAAGTGTAACCGTAGTTCTACATTCTAAGGTTGCAACCTTATATAAACTTTTTCCATAAAAAAATGTTGTCATTAATTGCTTATATGGTAACCTGGCTAAAAATTTTCATAGGTTTTGGGAGCACCATCCATTGTTTTGTAGTTGAAGCTGGTAGGTTTGAATATTGCCCTAGTTAAATATAAAATAAAATAAAAAAAAAGGTGTCATAAACCCATTTCACATATCTCATACTTGATTTTACTCCTCTCCACTTTCGGTTTTTATTCAATTGTTTCCCAAATCTTTTAACTTGTTCAAACTTTTTCATTAGCCCCATTTTTCAACACAAATAAACTCTATAGAAACCTAAGAAACCTTTTAACTTGTTCAAACCCTATCCATTTCACCCGCAATAGTATCAAATTATAAACGGATACTAAACAACTCCACTTTTCATTCAGTCATACATAGAAACCTTTCAATCACAGTGACCAAACTTCATTTAAAAAAAATCTACTACAAGAAACCTACATCCGATTTTGCAATGCAAGATAAAGTGGGATAAAAATAGATGGAAAACCAAACACACATAATAGAGAGAGAGAGAGTTAGAGGGAGGATTCTAAGTTATGGCAAATAAAATAGAACCGAAAAGAATGGTAAGACCAGCACACATAATAGAAAGACAAGAGAGATTTATAGGGAGATTATTAAGATATGGAAGACAAGGGGAGGGTGAAGAGAAAGGTGTAAATGGAGGCAGAGGGAGAATAGTGAGACATGACTCTTTCTCCTACAAACCATATAGCAATCTGTTGCACTCACCAACACAACCCCTTTTAATGACACGCTTCTTGAGAACGAAAAATTCCATGGCTGTAACCACACTATCGGCCCCTGCTTGGTGCATATTGAGTGCAGAACTCTGTACCCCCATGTCCCTTGCTAGTTTCGAAAGACCCCCTATCTATACGTAATGGTGGTGAACCATGTGCTTTGCATCGTAAAAGTTAGGAAATATCCTATTAACCATCGAGAGAAAAGTCGATAATGCATCCGGCAAGAGAGTGCAACTATTCAAAAGCTTGACAAGATAGGCCGTATCGTAGGTACCATGAAATGTGACCCAATGAACAGGAGGGTTTGAAACCAGCCGAGCAGATGCGAGGGAGTCAGCTAGTGTTTGAGAAGTTACACCTTTAGTGTGATTCTTCTCAAAATCAATACCTGAAATACGTAATATATTCATCGCCTCCATTGAATATCGATCCCAGGAAGGGTCAAAGTCACATAAATTTATTTGCAAGGCTATCTGTTGACCATATTGATTTGTTGGTAGCGAACCAAATTCATCATCAAATGTAAGGCCCACTTGTATAAGTTTTAGGGAATCCACATTGGCTTTATTATGCCCATAGTAGATTTCTGCACCTGCACGACTGTTAGAGGGATGAACAAAGCCAGGGAATTCAGTATCGAATGCAATGTAAGGATATCGTTGAAAAACATCACGAATTCTCGTGAACTCTTTATGTACATTATCAGCCCATACATCGATGATAAGTATGTCAGCCATTACTGAAAGTTGGTATAAAAGATGGGTTTAAGTTTGTGAAACAGAATGTACATTACAAGGAGGCGCAAAAAAAAGAATAAAAAGCCTCCAAAAGAAAATTAAGGTGAAAATTTGGCTTGAGATAGCCTTTCAGAAAGCATTTTGACAACGACAGCAGCATGAAAATTAGTAAAAGATGCATCAGAAACAGAATAAAGGGAAAAGAAGGTGAAATAAAGACATACAGAAAGCATTTCATTCAACTAACGCAAAATTCCCATTAAACCATCTAAAGAGAGTAAAAAATTAGAGTGAAGCATACAAATGAGCAAAGAATCAAATGAAAATTAAATTTTCGTGGAATGAAACCAATGAAATCTAAACCAATATAAACAACAATACCTCAGATGAATGAAACGAGTTGAATATATATCTCTGCAATAGGGTGTTGGGGTCCAATCCCTCGTTGAGAGAGAGAGAGAGAGAGAGAGAGAGAGAGAG